CCCCTACAACCCACCAAAACACATCACTGGAAGAAGGCTGGTCAGCAACTAAGAGGACCTCAGAGCAGTCAAAAGACTCTTGGTACCCATGGAGTACATTGCTACAATAGTTCACACACAGAAATACAGCAGGTCCACATACAGCCCCCTGTAATTTAGTATTTTCAAATTTCTGTATGATGCCTAGAGGCAAAAACTGATTTTATGATGACCTAACGTAGAATTAAAAGTGTCATATACTATTCAGTTTAAATTTGATCTGAAGCATTTTTAATGCAGCAACAGTAGCTTCCTCACCTCCCCAAGAGGAATATGTTTGTTAATTATCCTCATAGATCCAAAGGTCATGCAAGATGAAAATCCTTTTAAAAGGGAAATCTTTAATCTAGCAGATAACAAAATTCAACATCTGGTTGCCTGAAGTTGGAGAAAGAAGAAAAGTAAATATAAAGTATGCATTTAAATTATAAGGATATGATCTTTTGGAGAACCTGATTATGTAGAACAGACTTTTATAGTGGGGACACTTTCTGTATCAGGACTTGAATAGGGGATTAGTATTTTTGTTCTGCTAACTTTTATGGTTTGCCATTAAGAATAAGCCCAGAGGAAGTGGCATAAGTTCCTGCAATAAATTTCCTGCATAAGGTCCTTCTGAAATAAAGCTAGTTACCAGTTTTTGACAGCTTGGCTGAGCAGTCCATTATTTTAGATTGGTCATCTGTTAGCAAATCAAACAAACTTCAAATTCACTTATTACTAACATAAGACTATAAAGCGAAGCCTTTGAGTATATTAAACAGCTGCTGGAACTGATGAGGGACACAGGGGTAAGTTGTGCCAGAGGGCAGTGGGTAGGAGACAGGGGTCTGACTCCACTGAGATTTGTCCTGAAAGAGCTCAACTAGAAATGCAGAGCACCCACAGAAGGCTGCAGTTCTTGCAAACATATGAAAGCTGCCAGCAAGTCTAAGAGCTCTGTACTGATGGACAATTCACTTGGTGATGCCATTTTCAGGATAAATAATTACATCCAGAAGCAAAGGACTGTTAAAAGGCTACTGCTCCAGCCTACTCACCTAAAGGGACACCCTAGAGTGCACAGGGTCCCATCAAACTGGTCCAGACACCATACATGTTCTGCTGAATATCCAGCACAGAAAGCTGCTATAATGGTAAATTAATTAGTGGAGTCCACAAAAATAGATGTGGGAAACCATCTTACAGCTTTAAACCAAGAATAGGTACTTTTTTAAAGGCAATTATCTTTAGTTCAGAAGCATTTATGAATCTGCTGGAAATTCCAGGGCATTACCTGTGTAAAGGAAGTGTGGTTAGATCATCACACTTCGTTTAAGTTTGGGCTAGAAATTTTTAAAGACAAAGGAAAGCTTTGTTGTTTGTTTTTTTGTTCATTTGTTTGTTTTTTACATTTTTAAGTTCCTACCTGATTTAGAGATACCCATACTCCTATAATCCCTCTGATAACAGTGAGAAAAACTCATCCAAAGACCTGCAGTACAGCAGAATTAGGTATAGCCCATCCTTGAGTTAATGATCATCTAATCTGTGTACAAAAAGCTATTGAGAAAGGGATCCCATCGCTTCAAGGGGAGGGCAGATCCTGTACTCTCAGATTCCAGGAGCTTTGATCTGTGATATTTGGTCAGTGTATTTGGTAGAAAAGGATTCTTTGTCTGCAAAATCTTTAAGCAGAGTAAGTATTCATTCAAAACTGAAGCTAAATAAAGACAGTAAACTCAGATTTAACATCTAAGAACAGACTGTAACCAAGCATCGTATCAATGTGACAGCAAACGCAAGGCAAAGAAACAGGAACAGCTTTATATACATACACAAAGTATCACATAGCTGGTTCGAAACAGGAACCAATTTCCAGGGGCTGTGAGCACCTCAAAATGTCCTTTCAT